CTTGCTTCTCTTCCTCGCCCCACTGTGGGCAGACTGGCAGCATGGGAGGTCCGTGAACTTCTGAGTCAACCCCAATTCTCATCCCAGTGAGGCCATTTATAAACCTGTTGAACTAGGGCAAATCTCTTCACCTCTTGGAGCCTTGTTTTCCATTCCTGTCTATGTCACAGACTTGCTTGGAAGATTAAACTGTGGTTATCTGACTCAATTCCAGCCATGCGGCGGGAGCTCACTCAAGTATCTGGGCAAGTTGGGCTTACTATCTGCTTCTCTGAGAAGGAGCAACATTGCTGCTCTCAGGTCCCCAGGCTAATTTCACATTAAGAAGGAGGCAAGATATCCTCCTGCCTGAACTGGCCCTGTCTATAGGGACGATATCATACCTTCTGAATTAATTTAAACACAAAACCAAGCCAAAATGATATAGATAACACAAATGTGTATCTGTTTTAAACCCTAACACCCACTGAGCTCAAATTGCTAAGTGATGTACAGTGTGGCCTTGTTCTTGAAATAGCTGAGAGAGGCTGCACACTTCTGTCATAACCTCTCCAGGAAAATGGGGGAGCAAGCCTATTATTGTCCCCGACCGTGCTTCTATTGGTAAGTGGTCTTAGTTGCAGACTAAAGAATCCACTCTAGTAGTTTAAGCAGAGAGGGATTCATTCCAGAGTGTTAGGAAATTCACAGATTTTTCTGGGAGGGCCAGGGCCAGGCTTAAGTGCTATACCTCCAGGGACAAAGCAGCCTGGAGAAATCCTGAACCAGATATTGGGATGGTTCTAGAGGCAACCCCACCACTGCTATTTTCTGCTGCTGGCATCTGGGACACTAGGGCGAGGCACTAAACCTTCTACCAGGCCTGCAGGCCAGAGAACTCAGTGCCTCTGCCATGGTGCTTGCTCTAAGATCTCACATTCCATGCATACTGTGGCTATATGGTGCTCACTTCTACTGATCTGTCCTTACACATAATGCATTTGTTTAGTGGAAATGAGCATGTCTATGCTCTAGCTGCAAGGGGGTCTAAGAAATGTAATTTCCGGGGGTGGGTCTCTATAGTACAGGAAGCCATGCCAGGAGGGTTTAGAAAGGTTGAGTTGAGCCCCTTTGCAATATCTATCACAGGGCCCAAGTTCACCTCCACAGTAAAAAGACTTCCCTGGTCCCCTCCATCTCAGACCCAGTTCCTCTCTCCAGACTGTGCTGTGACATTTCGCACATACACCAGATATGGCCCTTATGACGTTCGGTCATCACCGCTTTCTCCCACCAAGGTTTTCCTTGTTAAAACAAATCCCGGAGTAGTGGGAAAAGCATGGAATTTGAAGTCAGAATGGAGTTGAAATATCAGCTGTATTATTTACTAACTCTTTAACCTTGAAGGAATGATTGACATCCCTGATGGCCAATGTCTCTATTTGGAGAATATGGTATGATATGCACCACAGAGGCTTGTTACGGAGAGTAAAGTGTTTAACTGAATCACGGATATGTGACATGAGCTCAATCATTTTACTTTAATTTAAATTTGTGTCTCCAGGTCATTTATATTTAGCATCTGCTATAGGCCAGGAATTCTACTCGGTACTAAAATGATAAAAATGAACAAGAATCTCACAAACACTCAACATAGGTGGGAAGAGGAACACACACACACACACACACACACACACACACACACACACAGGGTCCTTGACCCGTGCAAGATGATAATGTATGGCAAAGGAGTGGTTGCTCTTTCAGGAGGAGGGAAGAGGCCCAGGAAAATTTCACAATTCAACACATGAACTGGAATCTAAAGGTCCTGCAGGAGCCCAGGTTGAGCAGGGGAAAGGAAGGCCAGCAGGTAGCAGCGATAATAGTCTGAGGTTATTTGGAATCAACTAGTGGTTCACAGACTATGTTATGGGACGCAGTGAGTAAATGATGCTGAAAATGAAGTTTAGGGCCCTACTGTGGGAAGTTTTGTGTGCTGAACTAGAGAAGCTGGATTTTACTTTGTGGTTAATGGGGAGACATGAAAAATGGAGCAGAATAATGATTGATTAGATTTGAACAACTATGAAATTCTGATATGATAAGGAGGATGGAAGCTGGTAGGCCAGTTAGCTGGCTGAGATGAACGGTCAACATTATATCACAGGTGAGAGGTGATGAGAGTCTGCACTACTACAAAGAACAATGAAAAGCTTGCAGTCAGTGAAAATTATTTAGGGGATGGAACATCTGCGACTGAGTGCCTCCTTGGATGTGGAAGACCATATGGAAAGTGACATTATAGATTAAGGAGGATAAAGTGTTTTCAGCATTTTTTTTAATTTTAATTTTTTTTTAAAGATTTTATTTATTTATTTGACAGAGATCACAAGTAGGCAGAGAGAGAGAGAGAGAGAGAGGAAGAAGCAGGTTCTCCACTGAGCAGAGAGCCCGACCTGGGACCCGATCCCAGGACCCTGAGATCATGACCTGAGCTGAAGGCAGAGGCCTAACCACTGAGCCACACAGGCGCCCCCGTTTTCAGCATTTTTATGTGCCCTGGCCTATACAAGTTGATGTGCCCAATAGGCAGGCAGACATACAGGTGTAAATGTAGAAAGAGGGACAAAATTAGCTGTAGAGATCTCATTGGCATGTAGAAATAACAGCGGTAGTAATTGGTGTAAAGAAGTTCATACCAAGAGGGTAAAGATCCCAATAAAGTCAGTATGCACATTGTGTACAGTAAACGATTAGCGACAGTTTCTCTGGGGAGAAAAGTCTCAATTTTTAGTATTTGCTGGTTTCCATAGCACACATATTCCCACCAAAGCCAATTTCAAGCTGCCAGTGTGACGTCACTGAACAGCAAGTTGGGAGATTTACAGTTGGCTCTCATAAGCTGGGACAACCCAATCCACACACCACTGACTGTGAAGGTTGTACCTCACACAAGGGTGGTTGGCTAAGGCGAGTGGGGCTGGCATCCAACCAAGTCTACCTGGGAAACCAGGTGTCTATAGGGCCGCTTCTGCAGGAAGGGGACACATCACTCTACTTTGTTTGCCTAGAGAGACCATATTTTTCTCATCCTGAACCCAGAATCCAAGAAAGTGAAGGACAGAGCATGGAGGAACACTAACATTTATGCAAAGGGGAGAGAAGACGCACCAAAATGAAACAAAACAAGAACAGTGGGTCGAGAAGGCTTAAATCCAAGCCTTTCCATTTTCTAGCTGGATGGCCTTGGGCAAATTACTTTAGCCTCAGTTTCACCAGTTTTTAAAAAATTGTGGGAAAATGTGCCTAACATAAAATTTAACATCTTAACAGGGATGCCTGGGTGGCTCAGTCAGTTAAACAGCTGCCTTTGGCTCAGGTGATGATCTCAGTGTCCTGGGATCGAGTCCTGCATCGGGCTCTCTGCTCAATGCAGAGCCTCCTTCTCCTTCTCCCTCTGCCTGCCTCTCTGCCTACTTGTGCTCTCTATCTCTCTGCCAAATAAATAAAATCTTTTAAAAAGAAAGTAACACCTTAACCATCTTTTAAGTGTATTGTTCAGTGACATTAAATACATTCACATTGTCATGCTGTAGCACCACTGTATGCCCACAGAATTCTTATCATCTTGCAAAACAGAAACTCTGTATCTATTCAGTACTAACCCTCCATTCCCCTTCCCCCCCATTCTGTCTCTTGTCTCGATGAGTTAGGCTATCCCAGAGACCTCGGGTAGGTAGAATTATACAGTAAGTTTCACCATTTTTAAAAGGAGAATAATAATATCTTCCTTGTGAGGTGATTGTGAAGATTCCAACTAAACACAGAAATCGTTTCACATATGCCCAGAGAAGGCACTCAATAGAGGACAGCTATCATTTTCACATGTTAAAGATGCTGGTTGGAGAGTTATGGGTGACACACAGATGAGTAACTTCAGGGACTTTCAGCTCCGTAGGAAAGGTTTCATATTTATAATAACTATTACTCAGTCAGAAAGTGAGAAAAAGGTCCTTCTACAGAAAAAGAAGACTTTCTTTGAAGGATTTGGTCCAGTGGAAATAGTGAAAGGGACACTCTATGAAGAGGGACTATATGCGCAAGGGTATTATATCAGTCAGCCCAGGCTGTGTAACAAAAATACCACAGACTGGGAGATTTTACAACAGCCATTTATGTTCTTACAGTCTTGGAGCCTAGAAATCTAAGGTCTCGGTGCTGGCATGGAAGGTCTGGTGACAGCTTTCTTTGTATGGATGGCAGCCTTTTCTCTGGGTCCTCACAGGGAGGGGAGTGAGCTCTCTGGTGTCTTTTCTTATAAGGAACACTAGTCTTATTGGCTCAGCGCCCACTTTTATGACCTTCTTTAACCTTAATTATTCCCTTATAGACCCCATCTCTTAATACCAGCACACTGGGACTTGGGGCTTCAATATAGGAATTTTGAGAGAACACAAACATTCAGTCCCTAACAGGCATGGAGGTGGGAAACTAGCTTTATAGGAACAGTCAGTGACATAGTTTGGATGGAGCGTCAGGGAGCTGAGGGTAGAAGCATGGAGAAAAAAATGACATCTGGGGATTGCGTCGGACTGCAGAAGGCCTGCAACAGCAGCTAGGATTTGTGAAGTGTATTTTGTTTGCAGCAGGGAGTTTCCGAGGGTTTTGAACTAGGAAGTTGCAAGGTCAGAACTGTGCTTCAGGAAGATGATTTTGGCAGTGGGGTTTTTTAGGGCCACTCCTGCCCCTATTATCTGGGAGCAGGGAAGGAAGTGTCAGCCCTGGCAGATTAAATACCTAGCTCAGAGACTCCCAAACAGGCCTTTCAAGAGGCTTTCCTGAAGGCCAGTCCGTGTCCTGTTTGACTGGTAAGGAGGGAGCATGTGGTTTGGGGCACAGACGCTGCGTGACCCGAGGGAAAAATCAGCATGAGGGTTATCCTCCCTAGACCTCCCCCACCCAAGACCTTCCCAGCATCCGTCCGCCCCAAAGCCAAATAGTCCCCTTTATCTCAACGAAAGGTTTTGAATGGCCACTCTGGTTCTCCTGACCAAAATAACTTGGCCCGGTTCTTGCTGACTGCTAAGTACACAGCACGGCTACCTGATCTCGCCTTTCATGAAGGAGGTATCTGGTTCTGGGAGTTGCAAATGGGCAAATCTCAATTAGACAGCTCTTCGGGGCAAGATTACAGAATGGAATGCCTCTCTCCTCTGGGGGAAAGTTTTCGTCAGCCTCTTGAGGCAATAGGTCCCAGCAGCCACCGCGGACCAGCTGCTAAAAATAACCCCAGTATAAAGCACCAGTCCCAGGAGCGTCGGAGGAAACGGTTCTCGGAGAAGAGAAGCAGAGAGGGCGCGCAAGTGTTGCCTGGTGTTTGCCAGCACAATGTCAGACGGGATGTGTGCTGGGAAACCACCAATGCCCACCACAGCAATTAAAGTGGACCGACTGGGTGCGATCCAAGGCCCTTTTCTAATGATGCCAGGCTTGGAGATGACCTAGAGGAACTCCTCAGGGGATGAGTGAGAGCAGTGAGGTCGTCCCTCATGCAGCACCCCGTCACACTTCCATCTGCACGCTTTCCTCCTTTGATTTGTTCACACACACGGAAGGTACATGGCTCAGTTCCCCACTTGATTCCGTGCCAGCTGTCCCTTCCTCACCATCCAAGACAGTGGTGCCTCTGGTTGCTCCGTTCCCTTATTCTCCTGTTTCCTTTGTACTCCCGGCCTTGCACTTGACTGTTCATCGCTGCGTCATTAGCATGGAGGCTAGCTCCCAGGTGGGGGGGCCCTGCCTGCCTGGGGACTGGCCCACCAAGTGTGATCCTGAGTGAGCCGTGTGTCAGGGGTGGCTCTGCTCTCTGAATCCTCTGATCTTTCTTTCTGGAACCTTGATTCCCTGAATAGTGTCCCTTCTGGGTTTGGCCTCTTCCTCTTGTTATTTCTTTCCTATTATTTGTCTCCCTTTGTTTTTCTCTGTGTTCCGAAATAACACTATTTCCCAGCTCTTCAATTAGGTTTTTCATCTTTGGGCATATACATTTTTTTTTTAATTTTATTTATTTATTTGACAGACAGAGATCACAAGCAGGCAGAGAGTCAGGCAGAGAGAGAGGAGGAAGCAGGCTCCCCACTGAGCAGAGAGCCCGATGCGGGGCTCAAACCCAGGACCCTGAGATCATGACCTGAGCTGAAGGCAGAGGCTTTAACCCACTGCGCCGTCCAGGTGCCCCTGGGCATATACACTCTTTAATCCCTATTAACTCTGGTCTTATTTTCTGACTGATCCTTTTCCAAAGCTTCCCACACTACCCGATGGAGGCAGAGACAGAGGAGGTCAAATCAACCATCCTCCCCTCCAGGTAAGCCAGAATGGAGTCGATCTCCAAAAGCCAGAGTGAGCTAGGCTTTACCCTGATGCTGTCACACCCCCGCCGGAAGCACGAGCTCTCCCCCAGCTCCTCAGATGGCTTCCTGAGGAGAAAAACCTTCCATCAAGAGTCTGGAGGTAAATGCCACTTCCACCTGGGGGAGGCAGCTGGCTGTCGTCTAGTGCAGCTGTTCCAAGTGAGTCACTCCATTTGAACCCCACATTGTGCCTCCCACCCACTAGCCAAGACCAAACCCTCAGCTTCTCCAGGGTCCTGGAAGGGAACATGGCCCCCACCTCCTCTGCAGCCACCTTGGATTTATTCTGGGCTGTAGCTTTCTCTATCCTCTCTAATCCATTGGTACACTCCTAGCTGCCTTTTCTCCTCCATAAGTTTGTCTAAATCCCTTCTCTGTTAGTGACCCTGTTTCATTTTCTTATTCTTGGGAGATTAGTCTTTTTCATACTCCTATATTGCTTTTCAACAGGATCTCACAAGGATCTGTAGGCAGAAAACTATCAATAATACTTCATTGCACAAAGGGTTCTAAATAGAAATGCAATATAATGGATTTGACTGCAAGATTTTCTTTTTCTCAGGGAAATCTCATTATGCTAGTGTTTCATGAAATATATTGTGGAAAATATTGGACTAATTTATGGGTATCATGCTAGTCCTGGGACCTAAATGTGTGAGACATTAGCAACAATTGCTGAGCGTGTAAGTCCTCAGTTCTACCCCTACCCACCGAAGGAGGAGGCTTACTTTGTAGCCCTGATGCCTTGGTTCAGACAGTGAGTACAGTGGAGGGAGCACACCGGCTGAATTCATAGCCCCTTGGGTGCTGGTACACAAATTCACGTATCTGCGTCCCAATATCTGGATGATGACGAAGTAATAATATCTGTTCTTCCTACTTGGTTAGGCAGTTGTGAGCATCCAAAGAAAATATATGAGACAATATCGTATAAAATGTAATACACTAAGCAAATACAAGGAATTACTGCAGCGAAATTCAGTCACCATGCCACAGGCGTTAGAGTGTGAAAGGGAAAGACGACTGAGCATTCTCTAAACATATTGTATGGCTGTCATTCTTGTCATCCTACATTTACAGATGGCCCCAGCCACAGGTCACAGGGGCGGCACTTGGAAAAAAAAGGAGAGACACCCTAACCCCTTAAATGGCTTGTACCTAGAGCTAAATCAAGACTTTATCCTAACTTTGTGAGCAAAGACTCTGAGGTAGAGAAACAGAGACTCAGGGGTCTTCAGGTCTGCAGAGGATCATGGACATCATTTGATCTAACTTGCTTGTTTTAGATACATAGAAACTATGACCCGGAGACGTTAAATAATTCGCCCCCAATCATACTGATATAATGGTAGAGGCTGAGCTAGCAAGCAGGTATCCGAGGTCAACCTAACTCAACCCAACGAACATTACTGAGCCTCTAGCTCGGGTTTACCACTGTCCCTGAAGAAGGTCACAAGTACTCCGAGGGGAGAGTAACAGCAAACACTAATGAGTGGAGAGTTGATAATTACAGAATAATGGTGCTCAGGTAAGTGTTCTAGGAGTTCAGAGAAGAGCCATTGTTGATCGCTGAGATAGGAACGTTTTTGGTAGTTGGTATTGTCAGAAAATTCTACCCCTTTACTTCAAAGATTCCTTAGTGAGATTATAGATATAATACACACACACACACACACACATACACACATAATATACTCTTACTATATATATAATACACATACTTTTATTTTATATACATATATAAGTATATATACTTTTTATTTCTGTATACATATAGAATATGTATGATTTGGGGAAGCTGTTACTCTTTTCTTGTGTTTTTCTCTTTGGGTATCTTTGGAATACTTTAACCTATATAAGATGCAGGTGGGAGAATCTGTTGTCCATGTCAAGGGCAGTTTCTTGACCTTAAAAACTACAAGAGCAAAGGGGACCTACTAAAGGAGTGCTTTCTGTCTGAAATATATATATATATATATATATATATATTTGCTGCCACCAAAGGCAGAGTGTCTCAGAGCCCATGTTCCTTTCATGGCAAGGGAGTAGAAAACACCCATTTTCCTGGCAACAATATTTATTTACTATTGAAATATTATCCCTGTGTTTGAAAGGTTGGTGCTTTATTAGTATTTTAATTTCTAAAGTTTATAGAGCAGGAAATTTGTTCGGCGACTGTTAGTAATTCTGCCCTCAGATGGAATGATTCAATCTTGGCAATTAGTGGGCACGGTCTCCCATTAGCAGGAGTAGCAAAATAATGTGGTTGAATAGCTCAGGGTGCCAAGTTTATTTTGTGTTTGGGCAAATGGCATTTTGGTTTCTATTTCTTAGAAGGTCGGTTTTGTTTTTTGTTTTTGTTTTTGTTTTGTTTTGTTGTTTGTTTTTTTAGAGAAGGACGGGGTATTGGAGGGGCAGAGGGATAGAGAGAATCTTAAGCAGCTTCCACGTCCAGTGCAGAGCCCAATGTTGAGCTGCATCCCAGGACCTTGAGATCATGATCTGAGCAGGAATCAAGAGTCAGACGCTCAACCAACAGATGCCACCCAGATGCCCCAGAAGATCTTTTTTAAAAAGTCTCCCTTTTTTAAAACTTCTGTTGGAAAACTCAATTTAACCAGAACCAATGGGACATTTGATGGTGTGAAGATTGGGTAGACCTCACTGTAGGACTCTGTCCGCAGTGAGGACAGTTATTTTCAGTTGAGCAGATTAACTTTGGTGGCTCTGCATAGGGCTGTGAGCCCAGGGACTCAGAGGGGATCTGGAGGAACACGGAGAGGGATCAAAAGGCAACAAGTGACTAGCTTGCTGACATCCACATGGCTCAAAGATGGTTTGCTGTTGAGGATATGCAGAGGCACTAGCCATGTTGTGATCTCCTATGACTGGTGATTATTTGCAAAGCTATACCCCACAGAACACCGGTCCCTTGACACACTCCACAAAAACTGGATCGTACGGCTAAGGAAATTTGAGAAACATTACCTACTACTTCCTCCTCTTACAGAATTGCAGTGCACATTGGCATCTGAAAGGAGCAGAAAAATCAGTCAAGAAAACTTGAACTTGGGGCGCCTGGGTGGCTCAGTGGTTTAAGCCTCTGCCTTCGGCTTAGGTCATGATCTCAGGGTCCTGGGATTGAGCCCCGCATTGGGCTCTCTGCTCAGTGGGGAGCCTGCTTCCCCTCTCTCTCTGCCTGCCTCTCTGCCTGCTTGTGATCTCTCTCTGTGTCAAATAAATAATAAAATCTTAAAAAAAAAAAAAGAAAACTTGAACTTGTTCAAACTAGCATTTCCCAACATTTTGGAAATAGTAACAATAACCTCCCATTCAGTGGAACTGATGGATCCTAAGCTTCCTGACTGAGGCTATTAACACAACACATTAAAAAGTAATTTGATGACAAAGAAGAGACAGTTTTAGTCTATGTGAAATCTACAGTTTTGGGCCCTGAGATGACTTAGCCAACCCCATGTTGGCTACTTGTTGAAGTTAGGTCTGCCTATTTCTGTAACCGATTTGATGGCTCTTGCTTGGAACTGAGGGGCTCATACCCATGCCTGTTGGCCTCCAAAGCCCAGATCGTTAACTGTGTGTTATTCTGCTTGACATGTAAGTGCTTTTAAACTCCTCTTTGGGGGCACCTGGGTGGCTCAGTAGATTAAGTACCTGCCTTTGGCTCAGGTCATGATCCCAGGATCCAGTCCCGCATTGGGGGAGGGGGGGCTTCCCTGCTCAGCGGGGTGCCTGCTTCTCCCTCTCCCTCTGCTGCCCCCGCTGCACCTCCTGTGCTCATACTTATGCTCTCTCTCTCTAATAAATAAAATAAAATATTAAAAAATAAATTAATTAACTATACTCCTCTCTGAAGATAATTCAATAGTTGGGGGCTCTCATTGTCTCCTACCCTACCCCAGAGGAGGACGGAAGGGAAGGAGGGAGGCAGGGAAGAAGAGAGGAGTTAGTTCTTGTAGAAGCGTAAGTGAGATGTAGCCACAGGAATAGTTTTGAGCATCTGTAATATT